CCTCCCGGAGGAACTCCAAAAAAGCACGAGTCGAATCGACGGGGGGAAAAGGGAGGTGAGGTGAAACGATCGGCGACGGTGGTCGGAGCGAGAGAGATCTTCGCCTTGCCCGGGGCACAAATCAAGGCCCTTCTGTTGCTCTCGAAGGCCCCCACATGACTCAACCTGATTATTATTGTTAGTTTTACACACACGCACAAACACACACACCGAAGTACACTACTTCGTGCTTCGTAGTAACGTTCACCGACGTTAATATCGTTCTCTCTCTCTCTCTCCGTCTTTCTCTACCGGCTTCTCCGTCTGGCGCGTGTGCATATCGCGTGGAGAATGCGCGCGATCCATCCAGTCTCTCTGTCTGTTTCTTGTGTGTGTATTGGTGCGCCGTGTACGAGCCTCGACTAGGAAGTGCAAATCACGAGCTAACACTGTATATCCACGGCAAACTCTCGACATTCCCCACCTCCGTCAGGGACGTTTAAGCGGTTATTTTCAACACTTCGCGGCCACCCGCGGAAGCCCACGCGGCCATCGATTCGAAATCCTCGTGCAAAGTTTCCCGCGGAAAAGTTCCGCCTCCTACGTTCGTGAATCCAACGTTAGATTTTAACGTGGCTTCGTTGATGGTTCGTTCGTTCGAGGCAGTGATTTCCACAGCCAGATAAAACGTTGAACGAACTTATCCTGGTACGGGTTTGGCGCCAAAAATTTTTCATTTTGCGTCATTGGCGGCGATGCGTGGCAAGCCGAGTGTTATCGAGCGAGTCGAGGTTTATCGACGACCGAAACCGGCGAAATTGACCGAGTTCAATTTCAACTCTATTAGCTCCACGCATATATTTTCGACGATTTATGACTTAAGATACGAGATAAGGCGTGTCTGGCTACGTACGGCCATTTTCACTGTGGCAGTCAATGTGTCAAAACGGCGAAGTTCTTCCAGGGGTTCGGCTAGTTATGAACAGTTCCTTGTAATCGACTGACAACAGTCGGTGGTTTTGGCTCTCGATAGCGACACGCGTGTACACACACAGACACACGGTAATTCAACGTTTTATCTCGCGTCGTATTATTAAGCTGTACAACCTACCCGATGGCATTGTTGGTTTTAAGCAGCGTCGTTGTTCTCCGGCTAGATAAAGATCGAATTCACCGGTTCCTTTAGTAAACGAAGAGTTTGCTGTTGGTTCATAGTGCGCCCCGTAATCTCCTCCTATTTCTCTCTTTCTCCTTATCGTTTAAATTCGAGGACAAACGCGATCACAGGAATTTTCCGCGAGATCTTTCTCTCTCTCTCTCTCTCTCTCTCCGCTGTTTCGTTCGATTTTGCTGCTTCGACCTTGACTTGTTTATGGACTGCAAGTTGGTTTTGCAAACGGCATTAAAATACGAAGAGTATCGAGGTTGTTGTTTTCAGGTAAATATTTTGGAAGCCCGACAACGGCATCGACGCGCCCGCCTGACGCTCGATTACGAAATTCGTCGAACTGATGCGACGCGGCGTTGATCGAAATATCAATATAAAAACGGAGCAAATGAACACTTCTAACTAATTGCGCGAGAATTGTTTGAATACGGAACAAGGAATTGAAAGAAATCAATATTTACTCGTTTGCCTGTTTTATTAACTTACTTTACACGTTTTTATATACAGTGTTTATTCACTGGTATAATGTATGTGTTCACCCTACACACCAGTGTACCCAAGGTAATCGATCATCCGAAGTATCGAAACGGAATCGGAACATCCCCAGTTTCGTCACGGTGGAAATTCTTATCGAGCCATAAAAAAACACAATATAGTTCCAACACGAATCGATTCTATCGACCGTAGACTTGGGAATCTCGAGTTCTCGCCTGTCGATTCATCCGCGATCGAAATCAATCGTCCCTGAAAACGGATTTCCAATTAAAGGTCTCGAATCGGGGGAACCGATTTCCCCTATCGATCGATCGAAACGATTCCCGACGAATGATTATCTCGTACGATTGCCCTTATCGTCGTCATTATTTCGACTTCGTGGATTTCACATCGACGACGCATACGACGGAGCGCAGCTGTAAGCTGTAAAACCCGATACCCGCGTCGCGATATCGATGTCTCTGCGCCGCGTCTTTTTCACCGTAGAGTTCTTCGATCACGTTCGCGGCATTCATAAAACTTACACGGCCCTCGCGTGGACCGGCCTCGAGAGTTTCTACGATCGTCATTACGCCTCCAAGGCGCGCGCAACGCTCGTCGGCCCTGGACCGTCGTCGTCTCTGTATAACACCTCTATAGAGCATCGTCTAGCCGCGAACGAGCGAGACGGATTGATACAGAGACTGTATATTCTCTCCGTGCGGTAGCGACGACTATGCGCTAGCTCGAACGCTCATATACACACACACACATACACGTTCGAAACGACTCTAGCCAAGTACATCCAATTATCGCTGCTAGACAACGAGCCCCAAGGTTCCGCGTCCACGAATCTCGATGACCGGCCGGTAGTTCCGTGCAATTTTTCCAGCTACGTATCGAGCCAGGTGCACACGAAATCGAACAGTTATTGGAGTAACATTTCGGATTTTGTCGACACTTGGATACGTTTTAGTCTTTAGTGATGTATGGAAGGTACAGAAGATAATCAGTGTAAGTCATAAAGTAAATTAACAGAGATAATTGTTTAGAAAATGGGCTGTATAAAGAAATATATGCTATTGACAAATAAAGCATTGTTCATGTGTATAGGATACGTGTATATAAATTAAAATAAATAATAAAAGTGTATTTACACGGCATAAGTCATTTTTAATGAAAGACTGACTTACACTGATTGACTTCTGAACCCTCCATTGTAAACGTGTCTCGAAGGATTTGGGACGATTTGAACAATTGTTGATTCCACAGCTGTTTGACGTATAGTGTCAATCTTTTTTCCAAAAGATCACAACTGTTGAACTAACAGACTGATTAAAATGAGAATCTGTCAAAAATAGTCAAAAATATTTTTTAACCATTTATTTTGCAATTGTTTTAACGAAACGCAATGTTATAACAGTAGGACAAATTCTCAGAACCATTTTGGGCGTCGAATCACACCGGCATGTACAGTCTCTTAATTTTGAAATACCGATTTCAGGGTCTGGGCGTTAAATGGTTCCGTGCATCTATTACTTCCCCTCGATCTTTACTTTCTCGGCACTTCAGCCCCCAAAACACCACCTGAACGAATGCCGAATTCAGCCAACTCGGCCCGTTCACTCGCGTACACATGTCTCTGCTCGAAGATCCCATCCATTCCGGTGTTACCGTCTGTGTTACATAAAACCGTTCCGTGGGCGTCGTATCGTTTCCCCTGCACGGTTGCAAATTATCGATCATACCGATTCCGTAAACACCGCCAAGGCGTGCGCTGGTGTGCGCGGCGAACAACGCCGAGAGAGATTCCCGGCTGCTTCACCGGGGCCCCGGGCTCCTAAGGTTATGGCTTGCTCTAGGAGTGCATTAACCCCCGTCGGCTCGAGAGCACACCGTAGAAGAAGTGCACAGAAGTGGCGGGAAGGAGTAGTGGGTTGGGGGGTGGGGAGGGTACGGTCGAGCGGAGAGAAGAAGCAGCAGCTTCTCCTTCTCCCTTCCTCTCTCTCTCTCTCTCTCTCTCTCTCTCTCTCTCTCTCTTTGCCGCAGAGGTTCTTTCTCCTCGTTCCGCCAGGTTAGTCTCTCTATCGTGCTTACGGTAGCGAACCTAGGAGAGCCGTGCTCGCCCTGGCGAGTGCAATGTAAGCGCTTTTGCGAAGTCACGGGCGGCCTCCAAAGGAAGGGCTAGCTGAAGGGTGGAGTGGGAGATGGTAGAGACCAGGGGGAGAGGGTCAGAGGCTTCAGCTAGAAGTTTGTTGTCGGCCCAACCGGGGACGACGTTCACGATCGTTCATCGACGTGTTCCGCGGAGGAGGAAGGAGAACGAACAGCAACGGACGGACAGCGCGCGACTTTCTCCGGAGAGCGAAAGTAAGAGGCCCTCCTGGGGGACTCTATGCGCGCCCCTCTGCGGATCTAGGGGACACAGAGGGGGAGGACCAGGGTTCTTGCTTTCACCGTGGCCGAAGCAACGTAGATGTACACTTTTCCTTGACGTAGAAACGATGCAGCTCTCCCCCCTCTTATCGGGGTGATATCGTGTGCCCGTACTCCCGCGAGAAGAAAAGTACCGTCTCAGGAGAGCATGGTTAATAAATTCGAATGATTCCTCGGGAATTTTGCTAGTTCAACGAGTGGGTCGATTTAAATTGGACACCCTGTATATTTAATCTAGCGAGGTTCGTGTGTTTGATAACGGATGTCAGTGTCCTGGGAGAACAGTCGTTGCCATCGCCCACCCAGGTCCCTCTAATCCACCGAAACTTTCTTATTTCCCAAGATTCGCATTCCACGCGAGTTACACGGAAGAGAGACAGAGAGAAAGGGACAGTTCGCGTGCAATGAACAGCAGTAGCACCGTGTCTGAAGAAAAAACATGGTAGTTCGTGGCAGCGACGAGTTAGTTGCAGAACCAGGCGACAGCACCGTGCAGGAGCCGAACAATTACGAATTTACTTTCTTCTGCACAACTTCCTCGTCGCGATGGTCACGCTGCGGATTAGACCGAGACCTATCAAAGGCAGGCCTTTTTCTCCCTCTCTCTCCCTATTCTTCCTTTTTCCTCGATAAATCCCCACCAAAAGACAACGACGGAGGCGGCAGTAACCCTCGCTCTCTAGTCGACTAAACACACACACACACACACCGACACGAAGGCCGAACGGAGATGTAGATTAACTTCTTTTTTCGCGACAGTCGGTTGCGCCTACAGCGACGAGAAAGTCGTGTAGCTCGACGACGACTCCACCGAAGGCAAAAGGATTCGTCGAACTGTAAATCTAAACGAAAACGTGTGTCCTTATCGATTTTCCTTTTATTATCGAACATTCTTCGAACAATCCTTTATTCGCAATTCGTACATGAAAAAATGTTATGGTATGGAAAATATAAAAAAAAATACAGACGGTTCGTTTCGTCGAACGTTGCACCACTTTGCACAACACGATGCAACCGAGGAATTGATGTGCGACCGTGTTGCGTTCACTCTTCAGCCGCCTACGACGTACCATATTCACGGACTCAATTGATTTTGACGATTATAGCGACCTGTTCTCCCCTCAGCAGCATTTGCGGCACGTGTCTCTCCAAGGTCTCCCGTTTTCCCTCGATCTTCGTCACGACCACTTTGCCGGCCCAGGACTCGTCCTTCGTTGTCGCGCTCGGCGCACCTAATGGATTAGGATACATTTGAAGAAAAAAAGAAACAAAAAGGAAATGGAAATATATTTCAGACTGTCTCGATCGTGATTCACTAACACTGGGGATCTGTTCTTGTCAGTGTCGAGGAGCTTTCGAGCACTCATCGAGGATTTACTGTATTGCGCCGTGAATTGTGACGGTTCTTCTTATTGGAACGTTTCGTTTCCGAGTGCTGCTCCGCAGTAACAGACTTATATAACGTTTACAAAAAAACAACTGGACAAAAACACACCCCAAGTGTCTTTTTCCCGCGATATACACTGATTTCTCGATTACTAGAAGTCTCCCTATGGAACCAATCAAAACAGAGTACACAGAAGCTAAGCAGAGACTCGGTTTCGGACGAAAAACAAATTTATGAGGGACTGAAAATCTTTCAACCTTGCCATGAATTCTCCGAAGTGGACCCGAGCACGTCACACTCATCGAGATATTACTGTACACTCTAAAGTCCAATCGACGATTCACGGAAACACGATACCGAACAGGGGAGATCTAGTTTCGCTGGGACAAGCGAGGAGCATCGAAAAGAAAAAAAGCATCGAGCTTGACGTCATGGAGAAACCGCGGTACAGAGAAAGAGAGAAAGAGAGAATGTCGACGAGTCACGAGGTAAGTCTCGAAAGGTTGTTTATGTGCTGGCACGTGTCCGGCGGGGCTCGCTGTCTTTCTCTCTCTTTCTGTCGAGGGGAGGAAGAAGGGCGTAGGGCGATACGGTTAGAGGCGAAACGGGCGAGCCCGCGGCGAGTAGTCGCTGGGACACGTGTACTCTCCCCCAGACATCGATCCTGGAAGTTGCTCTTCAAGGTCGCTCCGGGCTGCCACCCTCGCAGCCGCCTCGTATCAACGACCTCTCGACCCCTCAGGATATCCTAAAGTACGTCAGTAGGCCAACTAACCCTGAACTCGGTGTGCCGAGCGATTACTGTTCTCTTGGGGAGGGGCGATAGAGAGGGGGGAGGGGGAAATACCCTTTTAGACTCGGCCGAACGACGCAGAACCGTCATCCCTTCCCCACTCTATTTCTTCCCTGGTTCTGCTTATTTTTCGTCGCGTTTTTCCCAACCCCGCACGAATTAATTAATCTTCTCCACCCTACCCCACGCCACCACTCCCGCGACAATAAAAACTGTTAAATCATTTTGTTGATTTACGAGCTCGTCGGTGTAAGTTAATCGAGATTTTTATCCTGGCCTGGAAAGAAGGACCGATATTATCGAGTAAATCTTCGGACAGATAAACGTTGGAGCTTGATGACGATGTCGCCGTGAATTATCGCTTATCCCCCGAGTTTCCTCAGGTTGGCGTAATTACTTATTAACAGCACACATGTTTCGTATATATAATGGTCTACTGTTTTTATTATATTACGCACAGTAGGCCTCCGAAGGTACAGTAAGTCATCGATCAGTGTTTGAAGGCTTCTCTGAATATTTAGACGCCATCCCCATTTTCTCGTTAAATTTGGCAAAATGAGATCGTTATGAAGCCGTGAAAAATGCGGTTCATAAAAAAAAATGTCTCTAAACAGCGGCCCGTAGCAGGCACATTAACAATTTAATTGGATTATTTAAACACCGTTACAAAATTTTCGCGTAAAATTAATATCATAGTGTAATTTAAAGCAAGAGCAACAACCTCTATTAACTAAACGCATATATACTTTTCATGATTTATACCCGAATGAAAAAAAAGAGAAATAAATGGTGTCTGGCTACGTACGGCCACATTTCACTGTGGCAGTCAACGGTTGACCGCCCGGCCGTCAGGAGCAACGTCGCGCTTTCGTGTCTCCATACCAAAAAGGTTTAACAGGATTCTAAAAAAAGGACGCTTATAGTCAAAGGTGAGAGCCTTCGTCGACGAATTGTACGTTTGTTCGACCGAAGATGCAATTGCGGTCGCACGTGCGGACGTAGCGTAACCTCACGTGAATGAATGAAAACGTGTGTGTGTGTGTGTGTGTGTGTGTGTGCCAGGCGAGCGCGCAGGGTTGCGGCCGTGTGTGTAGCGGAACGAGGCAAGGGAGAAGGAAAGAACGAAACGGAAGGAAGAGGTGCGCGCGAGCAGGAGGAAAACGGGAGTAGTGGAAAGAGGAGGTGGAGAGGGACGAGGAAAGAGCTCCTGCGTTCGGGTACTGGGGAACGAGAGAGAAAGAAAGAGAGAGAGAGGAAAAAAGGGGAAACGAGCGAGGCACATGGGCCTTGTTGTATCGAACGTAGCAACCACTACGTAGTCAAGGTCGGTCTTTGCCCCTAGCGTAAAGGGGGCGTCCTCAGGATGTATCCCTAGCGATACAACGACCCTATCTCTCTCTTTCTCTGCTCTGGGCTTTCGTGCCTCTTCCTTTTTCGGTGTAAATAAACTCGGCAAATGCGACGTGTTTGTTCCACGCCCGTACCACGGGGGATATCTGAGATCTGATTTCGAGAACGAATAAATTTTCCGCGGTAATCTGACAACGATACGTAATTAGGTTGTACAGATTAATTCGTGGCCTTCTTTTGTATAGATTTGTTGTTTATTTACAAAAAAAAAAACAAAATACTGTTTTATGAAAATAAAATATCATTACAAGTGTTTAAATTACATTAAAAATGGAAAAAACGATAAATCGGCTCAAGGTATTTTTCGGAAAACCCACAAAGCCGATATGTCGGCTCTAAGTACTGAAAGGGTTAAACAATTTCGTCGTTGTGCAATGTTACGTTTTGAGACCAAACACTAGGTGGCCGTTTTACGGTGTTATCGATCGATTTCTCTCGTAAAACGGGGGTGACGGAGATACGCGCCTAACGTGTTCCATTGACACGGCAAGTAGTAGGAGTCATTCATGGTCAGACGAGCGTACGAAGGACTAAATTGGATTCGCCATTGGCTCCAGAGGGGGGCAGTACGGCCCGAAAGCGTGTCGCTCTACGCCTATTGATACCCTGAGCGCGCTTTATTGAAATTCTGGACGCGGCATGCGCGTGCCCCCGCGCAATAGCGTCCATTATGTATAATTTAAAAATTTCCACCGGCTGATTTGTATATTCCGCGATGGGAAACCGTTTCGAGGCCGATAAAAATGGACACGCCGAAGGACCGTACCACGTGTAACGGCGGTTCTCTAAATCGTTGACCGTTGGTAATTAACCCTGAAACGGATGACTGATTGCCCCTGTCAGTTTCGTATTGGCCGTGTGTCGTACAACCAGCTCTCTAGGAGAGGGGGGGCTGGGAGAGGGCAGTGGTTCGTTACGCGTTCGATTACGTTTCGAGAAATTACCATGACCAGCGAAGAAACAGGTCTTTTCCGTATCGAACGAATCTCTTCACCCGTGAGATATATTTCTCCCATAAGTACTTATCTCTTACAAGTCTCTTACAATATACCGGACTATATGCTACTGCAGGAAAACACGAATTCAAAAAAATCTATGAGAATTTTGCAAAATTTCGTATTTTTACATTCCTTCATACATGAAAATTCTTTTAATTATTTTCCGAGTCTGTTTTTCTTTTCGTGTGCCGTTCGTGAGTTTTCATCTCGGTTATCCAGGCATAATGTTTAGAAATTCATTGGGTGGAAGGGGGGGGACTTGCCTTGGACGGAGGTACAATTTTTCTATTCTCAGGGTCGTGTGTCGCGAGCGCGCGCGTGTCCCCCAACTGTCGTCTGTACGAATTGCCACCGCGTGGACGTGTCGCGTCGCAAAATGTCGGAGGTTACAGCTTTCGATCCGCCTTTTTATAGACCCGTATTAGCATCTCAATGATTTCTGAATCATCCGCGGATATTTCAAGCGGAGCGCGCCGCGGGCTTCGATACACTCTACAGAACAACAAATCTCAGCGGTGATATAGAGTGAGAAGGTTGAAACGATATGAGCCATTCGGAAGCCAAAGTGACCAATCACCACAATTTTTGTACTTCTACAAACTTTAGCGTCAAAGAACTTCATTGACGGTTAACCCTTTAACGCCCAGACCCTTAAATCGTTATTTCAAAATTATGTCTTGTTATTCTGAAGTCGAAAATATCGATATTGAACCAACCTATTAAAAAAAGTTGTTTAATTTATTTTTATCCCTTTAATACCCAAACCTCTTTCGGGAGTAGGGGATTATTTCTCGCGATTAGTTCATAATGAGGTTTAGCACAACGATAGAGCTTGGAATTCCGAAGCCAATGATATTTCTTTCAGCCGCATTTGGCGATTAGTTTATGAAATATTTAATGTTTAGTCCAGGCGAGCCTCCGAAGAACTGATCGAGGATTACTGGACTGAATACTGTGACTACCTTTCGCGTGTGTATGCATGCGGTATAAGAAAGGAAAAGTGAGATATTATACCGAGGGCAGGCGCTTTCCTCTTGACTTTACGGGTCCAAACCTCGAAGCAGTCCTCGAGCGCGAGGTTCCAGTGCTTGTCAAAGGCAGCCACGTATGCCTCCACGTGTCCCCTTATGCCAACCGCGTTCCTGGTGTAGACCTTCGGCAACAAAGGACGAACGATTATTCCTTTTAAATCGACGACGACGACGGTCTCTCTCGTGTGTGCTGCGCGTCGTGGCGATTCGACCGTGTTCCAGGTAAAGCCGCGTTCTCGGCGGAACGAGGAGGATGAGGAGATGGGACGAGAGGAGACGAAGACGCTGAGAAGATCTTCTTCCCTCTGTACCCTCCCCCTCCCCCTTCGTCTCGTTCCTGATCTCTCGAAAAATAAGTGCACGGGAAGAGAACGTAGCACGCATCTCGATCCGCCTATTCGAGATCTCGTACGTGTCCGTACTCGCGATGAAGAAGACACACCGCCACGTACTGGTTCCTCCTTCTGTCGTTGATCGATGACTCCGAGCCACGGAGGGGGAAGGACACGGGGCGATGGGCAATTTTTTGCACGCACCCCGCCAGCAACACATGCATAATTTGTACGGTCTAATTGTACGGTTTTTGCAAGAGGGAGGGAGAGAGAAACGGAACGAGGGGAGAAATGGTGAGACCATTAGCGGCGAGGAAGCAATCGCGACAAATTGCGGGACGCCGTGACACTGACGGGACCTACACGCACCGACGAAAATCGTTGGATTTTGGTGAGCTTGGAAAGCGTTACGGGAACGCGTCTTCTGGAACTTCTTTGTGAAACAATTCAATCTACAGTAAATCCTCGATCAGTGCTCGAAGGCTCCTCGGTACTAATTAGGAGAGGTTCTCAGGTGTATGCTGATTTTTCATTGAACTTTAGCACAGTGATAGAGCTCGGAATTCTGAAGCCAATGATATTTGTTTCACCCGCATATGGGAATTAGTTTATGAAGTATTTACTGTTCACTGCCGAGAAGACTTCGAACACTCAACGAGGATTCCCTGTATATATCAGTGGTCGCCAAACTCTGTCAGGATAGGAGCCATATATCGCCTATCAGAAATTACTCGAAAGTCTTCTATTGAAACGGTACTAAATTGTGAGTTAAAATTAAATGTTTTAACGTTCTGAAATCGTCCTATGCCGTTTTTCACTCGTTGCACATTTGACAATGTTTCTTTTTTACGTGTATCACAATTATATAGAATAATTTCCATGCGATTAAAAACACGTAGCCATGTGGCAACGGTGGGAACGAAAGGGTTAATTCGGTTATCCCACGGGACATCTGGAAACCGTGGAAGAAATTGTTTCGAAGAAAGTACTGTCCCCCGATGGTGTCGCGAGGCCGCTCACGCGAACCTGCCCATTTTCCGCACGACAATTGCATTAATGCGACAGCGAATAGAGCCCCGTTGTTTGTCGTGTAGATACACACAGCGAGACAAGATAGCAGGCTGATACGCGGAAGTGCAGCGCCGCGTGGCAAGGCCCCCTTCAATGCCTTTCGCACTGATATATACCCGCGCGGCTTTGTCGCAATGAAAACTAATTGCGTGACTACGACTCTGACGCGGCGGTCTCCTTTCCTCTCTCTCTCTTTTTCTCCCTGGCCCGAGCACTGGCTTGCTTGCTCGCTCTCACTCTCGTTCCACGCACACGTCCATCTCACTCTGCTCTTGCCGTTTCGCTACAGCGCAGATCTTTCAACGAGTATCGATCAACTTTTTTTTATTCGATCTTCTTTCACCTGTCGAATTATCGAAACGTTAAAACTTGTATTCGTAGATTCATGGTTTCTGGGATCGTCTTAACACTACCCGATATTGTCGGTGAACGAGGAGGGGACAAAAAGAACTAGGAACGGAGAAGCTTTATCTTTCCACCGTGTTACACTTGTATTTTTGTTCTGTAAAACAAATATTTCCTTGTTTGTATGCCTGCTTATTGTTTTCATCGGTATTGTTTGTTTGTCTGGTGTCTTTTTGCTTTGCGTTTTGACGGCCAGTTTCTACGAATACACAGGGTGCCTCTGAAACTTGTGTATCCTGACGATCATACTCGGCTTTCGTTAGGTGAAAATAGTGTAGGGGAAGGGCTTCCTACTACTTGGTAAATTTATTTCAAGTACTGAAATAAATGTTAAATTGAATCTTCATTTGGTAGGTATAAATTTCAGTAACTCCCGAAACCAAGTACCTGGAGACCCTTATCCTACACCACTTTTTCCCTTGTACAATCGAACACAAGGTAAATCTACGTGAAACGATAAGTCGAAAATATAGAACAACATTTTTTTTCATTCGAGACTTTGTTTTCGAGAACAATCGGCTTTGAACGTTAATCTGACACTCGTGCGTATTCGTCCATACTAGACAGTAGAAACGGGAAGCAATGAACAGACGCGCTAGCCAAGTCATCTCATGCGAATTTTCAAGGATTCCATTCATATTCGTGAATTTTCAAGGATTCCATTCATATTCGTGAATTTTCAAGGATTCCATTCATATTCGTGAATTTTCAAGAATTCTATTCATATTCGTGATTTTTCACGGATTCGGAACGTTTGTCACACTGAAATGTTTTGTCAGCCGTGCGCACCGATCGTCATTGACACACGCGTGTGTCATACGCGTGGAAACACCGTTGAGGGGGCGAGGTGGGACGTGGTCGGTGGTGACGGCCGCCACGGCTAGATGTCGATTCTAGGAGTCCTCAAGATTCCTCCGAGGCATTATATCCTTGCTGGTCCAGCGGGGCCAGGATCCGTCTATTAAACCGCGAAGGACAACGCGCGTTCCTAGATATATTCGCTCAACTCACTTCGACTGCGATCACGTCACCCGAAATACAGGTGACAAATACATTGCAAAGAGGGGGCTGGATTATTTAAATATCATTACGAAATTTTCTGCGTAAAATCAATATCGCCGTTGTAATTTTAAACAAGACCAACAGCCTCTATTAACCGAATGCATATACTTTCGACAATTTTTATGACAACCCTCGGAAACTATACTCCACCTGAGCATATGTAAACACCACACTAATGCGAATTGGGATTTTGAATTTCTTCTTAACGGAATAAAAACAAATTGAATCCACGTTATATTTTTTATGGTGAAATTACCTCAGAATTTCAATAGTAATAACATTACTATTGGAGTAAGTGATGAATAATTTGGTAACTATGAAACATTTCTTATAAAGAAATGGTCAATTTCAAAACGAACAGACAAAAGAACGGTGCAAATTCGCACCAACGTGTGGTTAAGAAACGAAATAAAGTACGTCTGACTACGTACCACTTTTTTCACTGTGCTAGTCAACTTCGAGAAGCCTTCGAATATTCATCGAAGATTTACTGTAGAGAGTTAATCGTCGTGTCGTGGATCGAGAAACGATGAGGGCCCCACGGATCTAGAAATCGAAGATCGTTCGGGCTGAACCATCAATGTTCGACACGCAGGACTCGAATCAGACCGGAAAATTCAGTGGACGGAAAGCGACTGTGGTCACACCGGCGGATCAGTCAGTTTCGGATACCGATTCATCTCCGAATCAACTATCTAGAAAAACAATATTAACACTTCGCTGACGGTGAGGGTTTCTGTGTTTGCAAATATACAACGGTGTTCGAAAAATATTTAGAAAATAAAAAGAAAGAACCGTCGAGCAGCAATAAAGAGCCTGGGATAAAAGAAAAATCGAAATCGACGATTACACTTCACCCATACGTTCTATTCGTTTGATCTTCTCTTTTTTTCTCTTCTTTTTTTCACGTTCCCCCGTTACGTAACCGTTCATTATCCACGGTATTACGTCGGAACGCGTCGAAATCGCGTATACAAGATGAGACTCGTGCAGGAAGGGAAAGAAAGATTCTCCGTTGCTTTCTTTGGCAATTTAAGATGCAGTCGAAGGCCGTAAGATCGATCGATCGATCGAACGCCTGTGATAAAAATCTTCTTTTTCCGGATGCGCCGACGCATCATCGAAGGCCGGAGATTAGGATCTGTTCACCCAAGGACGCCTACGGCGGTTTCGCGAAGCGTTTCACGGAGAGAGAGAGAGAGAAAGACGCGAAATGGAACTCGCGCGCGCACGATAGTAAACACGTCACGCGATCGACGTGGCGAATGAAAGTTAATGAAAGTAATTAATCGTGAAACGCGTTCACCCGGCGCTCATTGAACGGAGGGGAGGGGGATCCGAAAGGAGGTTTAATCAGGAACTCGATTCCGCTCGTTGAGAATATCGAATATAGCACCGGGCACTTCCGCAGGAAGATCAATTGTATCAATTTAATGATTAACAGTTTTTTTTCCTTCTATTTTTCTTTTTTCGCCGACTGGGTATGTGAGTGTGTGTGTGTGTGTCCAGATGCTTTAATATCGAGAGGAGTCACGGATCTCGTACGATCTCGGCTATTAATCCCTGAAATAGTCGCATTCAGGAAATCACAGAAATGGGATCTCAAGATACCTCGATTTACCGTTGAGGCTCCTTTCCCCTTTGGCGATCCGAAAACAAAGGTGATGTTTAAGAATTTTTCGTTAAAGAAAGCAACATATTATACATTCAAGTAAATGAAAAAAATATTTGTTATAACTAACGGTCAGGAGATATTATTTACCGTATATTCTTTGCTTTCTTTAAAAAAAATTCCTGAGCGTCACCTTTTTTAGAGAGCTAAAAGGGAAATGGGAGTTAAGGGTTAATCGAATCAAGCGAATAAACTAGTATCGGAACTCTATACAATTTATTTCTAGTGGTACTTTTCTGCTTTCGTCCAGGATTGTCTTCATATTCGCGGACGATTCCTCGAACCAGGTTGTTTTTATTTGGAGTCGCTCGGAAAATTGACTAGAATCGACTTCCTGCTTACGTTTTTCTCGCGGGCGGCTAATTATGGAAGTCGGAAGAAACGAGATCGAAAGGGGTCTGGGGGACAGGAAGTGAATTTTTCCTGCTTTCAAGATTCGATTCCGCCGAGACGACGAGCATCCCCGCCAGGTCGCGATTTCTCTTTGCGTCTAACGAACACGAAGAGAAAAGTTCGCCGTGAAACGCACAAAGGACCTTGCCCCGTTGATGTGTTTCACCGACCGCGAGAAAAACAGGCGACTCCGCGGGATCCTTTGTCGGTCGATCCGATACACACACGATCCAGAAACGTCTTCGCGTGATTTCATCGAATCGCTGTGTCTCTGACTCACACGCACACGTACACACATCCGTACACATACGATGTTTCTGTTTCCTTGTCCCCTGGAGGAGAGAAAATGCTGCTGCCTCGAGTCTCGATCGGATTAAAAACGCTTTGATACGCGCGTCCTTGCTTTCCCGTTACGCAACACAAATGAAACAACGAACTCATAGTTGTAGATTTTTCCTTAACCCATTCGCATCGTCAAATCTGTTAGAGGAATCGTATCTAGATATTCAAAAAACATTCCGCAATTTTAAAACATTTCAGACTATTTTACGACGAAAAAGGACGGAGACTTCTGTCTTCCGTTTGGGCGGTCGGTTACGACAGAGAAACTAACAAGCATGTATCGATCTTATGGGAGCGAAAACATTCCTCCTAGACTGGTCGCAATACCACCTTCCCCCGCGATGAAGTAGCGCTAGTGGCCGTTTACACTACTAACCCCAATTTTGGGTGGTGGAAGGGGTGGGGGAGATGCGATCGACGAAAGAGTTTTCCATATTCCACGCGATACGAAGGGTGAACACGCGCGCTGTTTTCCCTTGAGTGGCCCCTCCCGAAATGGGTTCTTTTTCGTGAGACACCCGGAGCTTCTTTCTCTCTCACTCTGTTTTTTTTTCGGACCGACCCTTCGAAACGAGGAAAGGGGCGTAGGAACGAGAAGGGCCCAGGCCTGGTTTCCATGGTGACGAGTGTTGACCCGAACACTTAGTCGTTCTCCTACTCCTTCTACCGCCTATCTAGTACCTTTCGGGCTTTTCCAGCCCCCTCGTTTCACCTTCGAAGGGCTCGACGCGCACGTGTCCCTCTCTCGGTCGCGAAAGTGTGTCAGCCGCGTGTGCGTTCGGGGCAGAGAGAATGCCAGGAGAGGGGAAAGGGAGGAAGGCAGAAATGGCGAGGCGTGGGTGTTTACGGTGCCGCTTTCAGGACAACCCTTGAATTTCCATCCTTGTCTGGTGTGACCGATGTAAGACGAAGAGAACGTTGGACACGTTGAGAATTGTCTGTGCTCGCGTGCGCCTCCTTACGTCGACGCTTTCTCGTTTTCTTGTTGTTCCCGCCTTAGGAGTCGTTTAGAAGAAACTATACACGTCAGTTTTTTTTTTTTTAATTAGAATTTTGACATTCTTAGGTTTTCGTAGTGCATGTGTCGTCACCTTGTTCAACAAATGTTATAATGTTGTGTGTGAATCATTTGTATGTGAAGTAATAGAGAAAAAGAATTCAAAAAGAAATATGTTTTCATAATAGTTAAATAATCTGGGAATGAAAAGGTGAACACGTTGACTGCCACAGTGAAAAAAGATCGTACGTAGCCAGACACGCTTTATTTCGTCGTTTAACTATCAGAAACCACACACACACACCAGTGCGCGAATTTGCAGCAGCGAAATAATTGTCTCCTCTGTTTGTCTTGAAATTTAGCGTTTCTTTATAACTAATATTTCATAATTAGTAAAATTATTTCTCGCTTACTGCAACTATCACCATTGAATTCCTCAGGAAATTTTACCCTGAAAACTATGTTCTATGAGTTCAATTTCACTCTATTCTCTTCAATCGATCATTCAAAATCCTAATTCTCCTTAACAGGGTGTTCACTTACGCTGAAGTGGGGTGTGGTTTCCGTGGGTTAAGCCATGAATCATCGAAATTACATGCGCTTTAGTTAACAGAGGCATCTCGATCTCATTTTTTAAATTAAAATTCCATATTAATTTTGCGTAAAAATTTCGCAACAGTATTTAAATAATCCAGAGCCCCTCTTTGCAATGTTTCCAATCACAAGTTATCTTATAGGTGGCGGTCAACGTGTTCCTTCTATGTGTGAAAGTGAAGTTATAGAAACACCGCGACCCACCTTAACTCGCGTCCTGTTCTCCATGTATTCGTAGAGCAGTCCCAACGGGCCCAGGTAGTTCTGCATTTTTGCGAGGACGTTTCTTCCATCTAGGATACATGCTCGACCATATCTTGTGCCGGTTACGGGTTCTGCGGCACCATAAAATACCTTCGTCACTCGAAAAAGTCGATCGTTCCAAGCGACGGTCATTCGATACGAAACATCGAACGTGCAAAATCTACTATAGGCTAAAAGTTTAGATTCTGTACCTCACATTCAACGAGACGAGTCGGTAAGAATAACGAAAACATTCGCGTGCTAAGTTAGGTACAGTAAATGTTCGATGAATGTTCGAAGGCTCCACCATGGGGGAAATAATGGGGAAAAGAAAAGCACCCATGGAGGATCCCTCCGTGGATTCAGTTGGCAGCTGAACATTCAAGGGCCTTCGGACATTCATCGAGGTTTTACTGTAGATCGTTGGTCCCGTTGTCACATGGAAAACCACGACCAATTTTGCGTGGTCGGAAACAACGAAGGAAGATGTGAAAATAAGTATCGATCACTGCGATAAATACCACGCGGAGGGGTTGCATTTTACCACCGGTCCGAGATAGTTATCAACCTAACGATTGGACGTGAATGTTCGGGCCATTATCACCGACCGATTTTTACAGGCAGCACATAACTGCCTGCTAATAAGAATTTATTATGTCATCGATTCCCTCGGTTCGACAAATCACATCGTTCATCCTTGCACGAAGCACGGAGAAGAGCCGAGATAACATCATCGCTTCTAGTTTCCACCGTCTTTCCGCGCGCGCGATCGTTTTTGCCGAGGCGTGTACGAGTCATTGCGCATATACGTACACACGGCAACGAGGACACGATGTCGATCCACTGTAAGACCGATCCCATATCATACGGAATAATTTCGTGAATGAACGATCCGAATTGAAGTCCGAGTGACTCTGTATCCCTCTACTTCCACGCATCAACCATGTGTTTTTTAATTTATTTAAAATTCAAGTTATTGCTGAGACACCGTTTACAAATTCATAAAGTGCTAAAATTCTGTCCTACGATAACTGCTCGACAGCAGTTCAGAATTTCGAGCGTTAATCGGATGATTTACACTGTATCTCGTCGTGAGTACCGAGTTAACGGCTGCGGAGATGCGTGTCATTCGTGGTTCTATTAAAAAGAGAAAAAAAAAAACATCACCAAATTGCACAGTGGCGGGGGCTTTGGGAGGATAGGTTCGGCACTGTCTGCCGGCGTGGCGCGGAAAGAGGAACGACGACGCCGCGCGGAGAGTTACGTAAAGGCCTCTCCGACCGCCTATATACACCACGCGCCAGTGTGTACGGTGCACACACTTACTGCACTTATTTCGCTCGTTGGGGACGGTTGGTGGGGTGGATACACACACGTACCAAGCGCGCGCGTACTTACGCTTCGTCCAAGGTAGGCCAATCGGTTCGCGGGACTCGTCGTCGCGTCGCCCGTCGATCGCGAGAGCTATACGGCACGCTCGCTCGGGGAGATTCGACGTCGCGAATTGGCTTTCTCCGATAACTTTCATCCACCTTAAGGTATATAACACACTCGATTTGCGCGCTCCCCCTGCCACCCGAACCGCTATGCCAGAGCTCCTAGGCTCCGCTTCTTTTCCACCTTTCTTTATTCCTTTCCGCGTGCACCGGCGGTCGCTGGCGCGCGCGCGCGCGCACGCCACTTTCACTATCGTCGCGATCCAATTCCACTCGGCGCGAAGTCGACTAGCCTCCCGCTAGACTCTGAACGTCCAGAGTATATATATATATATGTGTATGTATATATGTACGTGAATTTTTCGACACGTCAGACCCGTGCGCGTGCGTTTTGGTTCGTCGGACTACGACGATTTCTAAATATAAAAATGCGAGAGAGAAGCCCACCGAACGAGAACCACTAACTAAACATCGCGCCTGAGCGTGTGTGATCTCGTCCAGCGTCGTTTGGTAAAAATACATACAACGTGTGCGCCTCTTCCTCCCCACCTTCGAAGGGTACGGTTGTGCGTGTGTACTGTCCTCTCTGCCACCTACACATCGATGACACCACATCCCCCACTTCTCTGTCCTTTGTGCGCCGCGATAGCTGGCCCGGTGAAATTAGAAATTGCCTCGTTTACGGTACACGCGTGGCTAATCGCAAATACTTCTTTTCCCTTGTATAGTACGTACGTACACTAATCGTGTGGCGTAGTGGTTCAACTATGACATCGACCCTGTGGGTTTATCTTGAAAGGTGAACACACAGCTTTCGCGAGCCGATTATCGAAGTATGCGAGGGAGGGGAGGTGGGTGATTTAATGGGTATAAACAAGGAAGAAAGTAGGTACGGATACTCTGTACAGACACCGGTTGTCTCTTCTCGATCCACCTTGGAAAGCCTAGCTGCCGCTAGTCAGATTCTAGGATAAACGATCGGGCAACACGTTCGCCTTCGAGCGACAAGGTGGTCCAGCCGTTAAATCGAACGATCATTCCCCGTGAGGTCATATCCAAGACTTATTACTTATGCCACACCCCCGCACTCCTCCCCCCCCCCTCTGACAACATTGAACCGTATCGACATCTACTCCACGAGTGTGTTCTGCGTATTGTTCTGTCTCTTTTTTTGTTCAGTAAAGGGTACAGACGAACGAGCATGGTAACAGTGGACCCAAAGCACATTGAACTTGGTATATATCGATCGATAGGTTCCTCAGAGAAAGCTTTCCTGTTGAATTGCTGTCACTTTGTGAACTGCATTTCGGGCCGAGCTTTCTGTGCGTGGAACCCTCCAATAGTGGGGATGAGGTATTTAACGTGGAAATCCTTCCGAGCAGTTATCGAGAATTTATTGTCCCTGGAAGAAAGGGTTTTCTTTGACAGGCCTATCGATTGATATGTAGCAATTTGGTTTGGGAGCCACTTTTACTGTTCTTACATTTAGGGGATTTACACCTAATGAAGGGAAAGGATCTAAGGAACTATACCCTTTTCTCGTAACGTAACCAAGGAATGCAACGTGTGTAATATATCCTGTCGATTCGAACGAAAGCTCCACGGCATATTTACTCGATGCACGAAAGGGTCGCGCACCTCCGTCGTCGTTTCACGATATTATACGTACATCCAGTCGCTTTCCACTGTCGGTTCCCGTTCGCCACGCGAGGATGGCAATCGGTCCGACCGATCTAGCGCGCTCGAGAAACGCGAAAAAGAGGAGGAAGAAGAGGAATACGCAAACGGGGCTGTTCGATCCACGCTGCGATGATTTTTTTTCTTTACAAGCCTTCCACCCCGCTAGGTTGGTGGTTTCTTCGAGATCGTCGCTACTATACACCGGCCCGTGGCGTAGATGAGATAACACAATGACTATGCAGATACGTTTATGCATTTATAGGATATTTTAACACGCAAAATGCAATAAAATAGAGAATTTAATAAAATTTAACGATGTTTATATATTACTATCAACGTAACGAGACATTTAGTACAGGAACTGAATTTCTATTTGATTTTCATGTTTATAAATTAATGCCTATAATTCTGAATTTGCATAAACATCCGCAGTCTAGTGATGACGCTCCAGGTGGGTTCACGTGTGTTTCTACCCGCGGAGAAGAAAACCGTTAGAATCGCGACCGCGTCGGGAACGAATGGTGCAGGCTGCGCTAAACGTCCCTCTAGTGTTTGTATAACCCTTTCGATCCTCCTGGAAAATCTAGTCTACGAAGGTAACCGTGGAAATTATCGTAAAAAACGTTGGATCTGTCTGTTTTTCGCCTACCACCTGACGGTAGCTTAATCATCAATTATAATTCAATTCTATTCTATATTTCATAATGCAATTACTAGTTGTCTTGTAGTTGGCGGTTAACGCGTTAGATATAATTCATTCGGTACCTAAAGCAGCGTGTCCTCCCTGGCCAGGGCCAGGATCAAAAATCATCGATAGCACTCGGTCCCCCCGACCGGCAATTATCGTATCTCCCCCTCCCTCTTCTGTATCGGAAGGGACTGTGTACTCCACAGAGTCGGGGCGTATAACCCAACCCGGTGCAACGTATCTCTCACGTGTTCACCTGCAAAAATGTTTACCGTGCGTGCGAAGGAGCACTTGGTCCCAAGGAGGAGAGGATCTCCCCCCGTTCGCCAATGTGCCCGGGGAAACGAAATATCGTGGAGGAGAAGAGAAGCAGGGGAAAAAGGAGTTGGTAACACGGCCGAAGAGGAGCGAGAGCATGAGTATAGAAGGAGGTGGAGATGGATGGAGAAACATAGAGAGAAAGAGAATCTGACGAGAGAACGAGATGGGAGACACACAGTAGTGGAAGCAAAGAAGAAGAAGGAGGAGGTGGAAGAGCAAAGAAGGTGGAGAACGGGGTGGAGAGAGAGAAAGAGAAGATGGTAGGAGTGGGAGGGAGGGAGGGAGATAGGAGGAGTAGGCCTGGTTGTACCCGCGGATGATCCCCAGGTTGAGTCGCGCTGGGTTCAACGTCCTGGCGGGCAGCGCACCCGAGAGCCGAGGCAGAGGCAGGCAGTCGAGCAGCCACCAGACCTCTCTACACATACATATACATGTATATATATATATATGTACATGTACATGGAGGTGCGCTCGCAAACATACATACACATACACACACCGTGTACACTCGCGCACGCGACACGTAGGTCTCTACGATCTCCATCGCGTTGCGCGCACGCGTTCTCCTCTGCAACACAACCACGCGTTTTTTCGTCTGTGTACACAGGTCCCTGTGGTGATGTGTTTGTGCTCGCCTGCACATCTATAGATACACAGAGAGAAACAAGCTCTGTGTGTGTGTGTGTGTTTGTGTGCGTGCGTCTATGCGTGCGAGGAAACGCTGCTTGGCTGGCTGTGGCTTGTTCACTCCGCGAGTTTGCTTTACGCGAACTATCCGTAGGTACTGTTACTTTTGCGACCAGGCCCTTTCGTGATCCCTTCTCGCCCCCACCCTCCGTGCCCCTCCCTATGAGTCGCTCGAATCGTTTTCTTTCCGACACGTAGCGGACGAACGACCCAGAACACGCTTTGTCACCCACCCACGCATTCGAGATGATTTCGAGATGAATGCAATTGTGTTTTATCG